ATTTAACTAAAATGTTAGTGTAAACAGAGCTGCCTCTTCCTACCATCCAGAGATGAGTTTGTTCATGGCGTAAACAGACCGGTCTGCCAATGGAAGTGCTGCTGGAGACGGGCTCCTGTTTGAGCATCAACAGCAACAGGCAGGGAGGGGTTGTTTGTGATCAGTTCCTTCTTCTCCTTGCTCAGAACACGAAACATTACGAGCTGTTGAACTACAGTGAGCACGGGACAACGGTGGACAACGTTCTCTATTCGTGTGACTTCTCGGAGAAGATGGCTCCCACTCCTCCCAGCAGTATTGTTGCCAAAGTGCAGAGTGTGATAAGTGAGTGTCCGCGCAGCCCGGCCCCTGTCGTGCCCTGGGGACCCGTCGGAGGTCCTGTTCCCCTCTGCTCAGCTTCCTCTTGCCTGGCTGCTGACCTGCATGCGTTCGTGTCCCCCTGGGGACAACGGGACGCCTCTTAGGGCTGCCCTGGGACTCTGCTCCTCTTCATCTGCTGCTGAAGCGCCTCCAGGCTGCAGGGTTTGCTCCTGGAGCAGCAGCCCCAACGGGCTGAAACAGGCCGCTGCCTCGAGCTGCACCAAACCTGACGTGCTTTTTCTTTTCCAGAGCGACACAAAAGCAGGAAGCAGGAAGAGGAGCCGCATGAAGAAGCCGCCGTGATGAATTCGCAGGCACAAGGGCAGCATCGGAAACCCTGCAACTGCAAAGCCAGCAGCTCCAGCTTGATAGGGGGCAGCGGGGCCGGCTGGGAGGGGACGGCTCTGCTCCACCACGGCAGTTACATCAAGCTGGGCTGCCTGCAGTTTGTTTTCAGCATTACCGAATTTGCGACCAAACAGCCCAAGGGGGACGCTGCCTTAGTACAGGACATGGACTTGGAGGAGAAGCTTTCTCTGAAACCCCACCAGGTGCCCGTGCTGCGCTCCAACTCTGTTCCCTAGGAATTTCGAGGAAGAGAAGCTTTGGAGACCCAAGGAAAACACCCTCAGACTCTTTGCAATGCAAAAACTGTACAAAACCGAGGTGGGATTTTCTAACGTCAGCCCAGAGACTGTCCACACGCCGTTTGCATGAAATGAAGAACGTTTAACTTTTTTTAATTTTCTTTTTTTGCTCGAGTTTTAGGGGCATTTGCACATATATTTGTACTATACATTTCATTTTAAAAGGAAAACTGCAGCGAGAGCAGGACGCGTCGGAGCGAGGGGCGTCTGAGCCGAGGACTCTCTGACAGATCGCACCCACGCAGTTGTAAAATAATCAGAAACTTGTTCTATTTTGTGCCAGTGACAATAGTTTTATATTAAAAGAGAAATACAGTTTTCATACAGCAAATCTATACAATATCATTGTTTTATTTAATGTAAAGAAGCCGCTCTTCTTCCCACAGTTACGTTTCCCATCCCTCCCCGCTCTGGTTGCACTACAGTAGCTACTGTGTATTGGGCAGTGAGAAACAAATTCTTTTCCTGGTGTCCATCCTCTCTCCTTTTTTTTTTTTCTTTTTTTTTTTTAATTTCAAATAAGGAAAAGTGTTGGATTCTGTGTAAATACATCAGTGATGGCATTTTCAATGTTTTAAAGCTGTGTACAGTGCTACATGTGGTATGACGTCCCCCGACTTGTCTATTGTAGCAGCTCGTTTCGTCGTAACCCCTCTGTCTCTTTTGTTTATATGCCACCCCCTGCAGCAGGCCAGCTAGCTCCACTGTACAGAGTAATTGTAACGTTTTAGACTTTACAGAAACTTTCCTGTATTCTGTATATAAAAAAAAGAAAAATTCACATTGTTTTCTGCCTGTCTGTGTCGTTCTGTCAGCAGGATGGGGGGGGGGAGTGGGGCTTGGGGGGCTGCAGCAGAGCTCGGTGTGATTTTATTTCCCCCCCCTCCCCAGAGCTCGTGTGACCTCGAGCTCTCCCTGTCCCCATTGCGCTGCCCTTTGCCCGCTCCATTGGCTTTTCCACCCCTTCCTGCACAAAGGGCTGCGGCTCTCGGCAGCACAGCCCTCTTCCTCTTTTCCTCCTCCCCTTCCTCCCTGCGGACGGGATGGGGTGGTGGCTGCTGGCCGTGGGGCTGCTGCTCTGCCTGCTGCTTCGCTTCACCCTACGCGGCCCCGCGCCGCCGCTCGCCCTGCCCCCGCTGCACGGCCGCACCGCCATCGTCACCGGTGAGCGCGGGGCGCCGCGTGCCGCTGCCTGGCTGCCGGCTGCCGGCTCACAGCTCTCTGTTGTGCTCTCCTCCGCAGGGGGAAGCAGTGGCATCGGGGAGGCTGCGGCACGGCAGCTGGCGCGGTGCGGGGCGCGCGTGGTGCTGGCAACGCGCAGTGCGCTGCGGGGAGAAGAGGCTGCGCGGCGCATCCGTAGGGTGAGAGCTGGGGGGGGTTGGGGAGGGTAATAGGGGCACAGAGAGGGGCTCTGGGGTATCGCTGGGACACCCCCACGGGACGGTCCCAGCGTGCCCCCAGTTCACCCTTATGGCACATCCTTGGAGGACCCTAAGGCACCCACGCCTTCAGCACCCCATGGCGCAGGATGCCCATAGGTAGGATGATCCCACAGCACACCCCCTGCACCCCAAGCACCTCCAAATACCTCCACGTGCATCCCTGAAATACCCCCACAGCACATCCCTGGACACCCCAGCTGCAACATCCCTGTATCATCCCTCACCTCAGTTCACCCTTAGGCCACTTCTATGGGCTCTCCCCAGTGTTCCCCTGCAGCCCTTTGTGCACTCTTAGGACCCCATGACACATCCCTGGATGCCCCTATGGTCCATCCCCACTGCACGCTTAGGACCCCCCCTTGGCCCTCCCCTGATACGTGTGGTGCATCCCCATGGCACATCCCACTGTAACCCTCCTCCCATATTCCCAATGCATCTCTAGGACACCCAGATGGAGCCACCCCCAGCATACCCCACCTTTAGGCCACCCTATAGCCATTCCCTGCAGCCCTCTCCTCCCTCCACCCCCATTGCAGGACACGGGAAACCCCGAGGTGCTCTTCATGCCTCTGGACCTCAGCAGCCTCCACTCAGTGCGCGCCTTCGCCACCGCCTTTCTGCAGCAGGAGCCCCACCTGCACCTCCTCATCAACAACGCCGGTGAGCAGCAGAGCACTGCATTGCATGGGGAACCCCCAAACCCAGCACCCACACCACGCACTGCCCACACAGGAGTGAGCGCCGGGGGCACGACGGAGGACGGTTTCAGCCTGCCGTTCCAGGTGAACCACCTGGGCCACTTCCTGCTGACCCGACTGCTGCTGCAGCGCCTGCAGAGCAGCGCCCCGAGCCGTGTGATCATCGTCGCCTCCTCTGCACACTGTGCTGGCCGCCTGCGCATGGCTGAGCTCGGCCGCCCACCCCCCGGCCCCTTTGCTGCCTTCCAGGATTACTGTGACAGCAAGCTGGCCAACGTGCTGCACGCACGGCAGCTGGCAGCACGCCTGCAGGGGACTGGAGTCACTGCCTATGCAGTGCACCCAGGTATGGGCAGCTCAGTGCCAAGTGGTTTGCTTGTTGCATGCTTGCGTGGAGCACCCCTTCACGTGGAGTATCCCTTTGCACGGTGTTCCCTTTGCATGCAGCATCCCTCTGTGCTGTGCATCTTTTACGCCGTTCACCTTTTGCACAGCATTCCTTTGCATGATGCATCTCACTGCACGGTGCATGGAGCACCCTCTGTGCAGTACGCCCTTTCTACAGTTCACCTTCTGCACAGCATCCTTTTGCATGCCACATCCCTTTGCACGAAGCATCCCTTTGCACAGCCATCTCTTTGCACACCACAAAGCGCGTTGCTTTGCGTGCTGTGTCCCTTTGCTGATGGGTCCCCTCCCCACCGGTGCCTGCACAATGCACCCCCTCCTCTCTCCCTGCAGGTTTTGTCAACACGCAGCTGTTCCGTCACGCACCGCTGTGGTTGCAGCTGCTGTGGACTCCGCTGTCCCAGTTCTGCTTCCGCAGTGCAGCTGAAGGCGCACGCCCAGTGCTGTTCTGTGCCACGCAGGATGGCCTTGAGCCCTTCAGTGGCTGCTACTTCGCCGACTGCCGCCCTCTGCAGCCCTGGGCTCGGGGCAGGGATGATGCAGCAGCACGGGAGCTGTGGGACCGCAGCGAGAGGCTGTTGGGGCTGCAGCCCTCCTTGTGCACACCTGTGGAATAAATAAGTCCTGCAGTTGTGTTGCACTGTGTCATGCAGCTCCCCAAGCTGCCCCGGTGCAGCATGTGCCATCTTCTGCATGCCATCCCGTGCACACTTGCACATGCAGAACAGCTTGTCCAGCTTTGCAAAGAGTGCAGTTGCTGCAATGCAGCACGCTCTGCCTTGCACACACATGCACAAGCTGTGTGCACGCCCTGCCTTGTCAATGCATGCATGTGCACACAAATGCTGCAGCGTGAATGCGCTCTGCTTTGCACAGTGCAACAAATCACACTGTAGCGTGCACACTGCACCATGACTGCATTGCACACTCTGCAACAAAGCATGCCCTAATGCACACACACTGCAATGCACACACATGCACTGCACTGCACATGCCCTACCTTGCACATACACTACACACATTGCATATGTCCTGCCTTGTGCATGCACACACAGCCTTGCACGCACACAGTACATGCTTTGCAACGCCTGCACTGCACTGCAAGTGCCCTGCCTCGCACACACTGCATTGCACACGCATGCATACACTGCACACGTGCTGAACTACACACACTGCATTGCATACAGCCTCGCACATTAAGGAACACACCGCTGTGCACTGGCCACCCTCTGCATGGCACGCCCTCCCCTTGCATTGCATTGCATTGCATTGTCGTCGCACACTGCGCACGCGCCGCGTAGCGCCCCAAGATGGCGGCCGCCCCTGACCCCGCCCCTCCGCGCGGCTCCCACCTCCCCAAGATGGCGGCCGCCCTCCCAAGATGGCGGCCGGCCGTGACTCCGCCCCCACGAGCGCTGCCCACCTCCCCAAGATGGCGGCCGCCCTGGAGGCGGGGCGGCGCTGGGCGGACCGGGTGCGGGCGGGAGGCGGCGAGAGGCGGAGGAGCCGTTCCGCGGGCAGCATGGGCAACTGCCACACGGTGGGGCCCAACGAGGCGCTGGTGGTGTCAGGTACGGGCGGGCACAGCGCTGTGGGCCTCTGGCTTGAAGGGGACCCGGGGGGGTCCTGAGCTCTGGGGGTGGGGCTGCGCCAGGCCTGGGTGTGGGGGGGTCACGGTGCGGGGAGGGGACGTGTGGCACTTGGGGGGTCAGCAGGTGGGTTAGGGGGACGTGGCACTGGTGTGGCCCTGGTGTGGCACTGGTGTGGCACTGGTGCTGCCAGCTCAGCCCTGGGACAACGATGGGAATTGCCGAGGCCATGGCAGGAGCAGGGAAATGAAAGCTGTGTGCGCCTGCTGGTTCTCAGGAGATGCAGACGGCTTCCCTTGGCTCCCCGTGAGACCCCTTCCGAGGAGCGCAGCGCAGTGCTCGGGAGCCAAGGAGCCATCGTCCATCTGCACCGGGGCACCGTGCAGGCTGCAGGGTTTGCTGTAACCTCTGTTCCTTCCTGAATCTCACAGCGTGCAGCTCGCAGGATGGCCTGGCAGGAATTCGTGACATCAGCTGGTGAGCCAGGGCTGCTCCTGGATGCAGCACCGAGCTGTGGGACGAGGGCAGAACACAGCCCTGGGACGCAGACTGGGCTCAATGCCATCCCCAGACACGGCTCTGCTGCTGTTCCCTACCAGCATCGGCTCCTCAGCAGAGCAGCAGGGTGCAGCCCTGGGTTCCGGGAACTGAAGCGGTCTGTGTGCAGAACAGAGAGAGCTGACGGCATCCGGCGCTTAATTGGGTGATATTAGGTCAGATCTGGGAAAGGGAGGAGAAATGTGACAGCAGGTCGTGGCAGCAGCTGGCTCTTGGCTTGCTGTCATGCAGCTGTGATGCTTTCTGAGCTCCTTCTTTTTGCTGGTGAGACATCTCAGGCCCTCAGCACCAGGAGCAGCAGCCGTACCCTGGAAACTTGTGTGCATGCAGAGATCCACAGCCTTATTTGGGAAGCAGCCTCCAGGGCACGGCCAGCACTGTGCTGTGTCCTTCCCTCTTGAGCAACACTCGTTTCCTTCTAAGAAACTGCCCTGGGTCAGGCAATCCATGCAGAGCCCAGGAATGCTCTGGGGAGCTGCGCGAGGTGATGATGGGCTCTGCAATTTGAGTCTTACGTTGCAGGAGGAGCTGCAAAGCTTCCCACTGGGGCTTGGCGCGGGCCCTGGGGAGGCTTTGGCTCCTTGCAGGCTGCTCCTGGGCAGAGCCCTGCGTTCAGAGAAGCAATACCTGCTCACCCTGACGTCAGGCTTCCCACAAGATGCACAGATCCTCTCCAAGTGCGTAATGGTTTTCAGTTGCAGCCTGGCTGAACGCAGCCGTTGTGGCTCGGGATCAATCTGCTAATGCTGAAATCCGACACTAATATTTCTGCAGAGCCTCATCATCAGGAGGCGTCATATTTAATGGCTGCGCTCATCTTACAGCTCCTGTGAGCCAACAGGGCAAACAGTGCAGGGCCCGGCAGCAGCTGGGACATCTGGAGGTGCAGTGTGGGGCAGGTTGTGCAGAGCACAGTGCTGGTGGAGCAGCAGGGTGCTGCTTCAGCTGGAGGTCAGGGTGTGAAAGGAGAAGCAATAGGGCCCAGCTCAGCTCCCCAGTGCAGCCCCTCTGGGCTCTTTGATCTCTCTCAGAGCAAGAGAAGAGCAGGCAGCTGATTCTAGTTTTGTGTCAACATTTCCTGTCAGGCCCCAGCAGTTGGGGATGGTTAACCCTTCCCGACCTGATCTGAGCACTCACATCCTCTTATTCCTGCAAGAGGAACTGTCTGTGAGCCAGCGTACCACAAAAACACACAACAGTCACTTGTACACGTTTTGAAAGCCAGAAATACAGCCTTCTGGAGGCTCTGTGAACCCTTCCTGCTCTGCGAGAGCCCTGCAGTCCTCAGGTACTGTAAGATTGATGTGAGCCAGGCTGGAAAACCAGTGCCAGGGAACCTGACAGTGGTTCACTGTTCAGCTGAAGGGATTTATCAAGTAAGTGCCTTGTTTTGGCTTGGGTGGTGGAATCGAGAATGTGCTTATTGAATGTGCAGATGACATTGAGCTGGGAATGGATTCGAGAGCTTTGAGAGCAGGATTAGGATCAAAGGAAACTCAACAGCTAGGCCAAACGGTCTGAAAGGGGTGCGATGCTGTTCAGTGAAGAGAAATGCAGAGAGTGCTGTTTAGGGGAGAGCAACCAATGGCATGAGAACGGAACAGAAGCTCCAGGCCATCTCCTGTAGGAAAGGGAGGCTGCAATCTCCAGGTCCCTGCAGAGAGGAAAGCAGGAGAAGAGGCGGGCAGAGTCCTTTTGTTTCTGGGAGGAATTTTGGGGTAACGTCTCAGCAGCTTGCTTGTGTTTGCTTTCCTTCTCCTCTGGGTTTCTGTTTGCAAGGTGGGTTCAGCTGAAGCTGTGGTTTGCAAACTCTGTGTAGCAGCGATACTCAGAGTTGGAAATGGTTTGGGTTTGGATGACCTCCAGAAGGAGCTCACCAGCACAACCTGCACTTCCCTGTTGTTGTGACCATCAGAGGATTACACAGACCCACCTCAGAATCCCGCGTCTGATAAATCCATTTTATTAACCTTGGACGAGGCACGAGGACAAAGCCTGATTGATATTCGCAGTGGTGTCTGAGAACCAGACGCTGATTTTAGTCTAGACCCTGCTTTATTCGTGAGTTTCTTTGCGTGTGTCTTTGCCTTCTCCTCTCTGTGTTCAGCAGTGCTCCCAGCAATCGCTCTGCTTGTTTCCCAGCAACACTTCCCTGCATCTACCAAAGAGCTCAGCTTATCTACAGATCCTCAAATCTTTCATCTCATGTCATCCAAGCTAGGCAGCGTGCTTTCTCTCGGCTCTGGGAAGCCATGCTGGAACACGGCACCCCTTCATCTGAAGAGGCCAAAGTGGCTGGCAGCTGCCTGGCCATGAACCCCCCATTTGCAGCAGGTCTGACTGTGGCACGCTGCACCCGGAAAGTGTGGGGATGTTGGTGAAAGGGACGGCAGAGTGGCTGTGAGACCCTGGGGAACAGCGGGTGTATTATAGCTGAGAAATGCACCTCCTCTGCCAAATCCCATTGTGCAAGAGGGGTTATTCTTCAGCCTTGCAAGGATTTCACTTTGTGGGTTCTTTTTTCACTTGATCTCTGAGACTTGGCAAAGAGGCTGCAAGAAGTGCAATGGAAAATTAACCATCGTGCGTTAGCGGGACAGAGCTCTGCTGCAGTCCAACGTCCAGCTTGCAGGAAAGCAACCAGCTGGCATCCCACCTCTGCTTGATGGCTTTGGCTTCCCTGTTTTTCTTATGCTTTGAACGCTTCAGGGCGTACGGCAGAGTTTAGCAAACGGAGCTGCATAGCAGTGTTAGGAGGCTCTGGGAAGCAAGTGCTGGGTGTGATGCTGAGCGAGGCGTTGCCTGCAGAAGAAAAATGGAATCTGTGAGCAGAAGCACCTTCCCAACTTGTAGCAGCAGTGCTATTAGGGCACGTTTTACTCAGAAAACGATTATTAAACAATTGCCAGAGGTTCACTGGAGGCCTAATGACCACGTGGATGCTGTGAAATGAACAACTTTCCGTGCTGCCAGGAGCACCTCCCTTCCTGCCCTTGGGAAACGAGGTCCTCCAACAAATGTTACCAGGCGTTGCAGTGCTGTGAGATTGTTCTGCTTGCAACTCGCCCTGTTTGGGTGCAGGGTTTTCCCTGACACATGGGTGTGATGGCTCTTCCATCTGTGTTCTTCCCACTGTGCTGCAGGTGGCTGCTGTGGCTCCGACGTGAAGCAGTATGTGTACGGCGGCTGGGCCTGGGCCTGGTGGTGCATTACGGACACACAGAGGTAAGGAGACCCAGAGGTCACCCCCATTTTGCTCGTGGGTCTGGAGCACACACCAGGCAGAGCCGTCCCTGCAGGGCTGTCAGTGTCTGTAGGAATGCAGGGCTGGCCTGGACGTGAGAAACCATGGCTGAGCATCAGCACTCTGCCTTTGGCTGCAGCCCCTGCCTGCTGCCCAGCTCTGTTCTTCTAAAGATGTGCTCACTGCTGTCACCACGGGAGCAGGCTGTGTTCTTGTTTAAAAGCACAGGATTTCCTTTCCTTCCCTTTCCTCGGTCATGGACTTTGCTTGTTTCTGAACTAACATGCTGTGGTACTGCTGCTATGGTTCTTCTTTAGGACCTGTGGGGATGTTGCTGAGTGTGCTTCTGTCCTAACACCTCCCTCACACCCAGGCACAGGTTTCTGCCTATGTAAAAAAGTAACAGGGAAGGGATAAAGACGTGACTTTGGGGTTTTTTGCACTACATTGAAGGCCAGAGGTTGCAGCTAACCTTCCCTCCTCATGTCAACATGTCGCCACCAGCAGACAGCCAGCATGCTGCTGCCCTCCCCCTGCAGATGCTGCAGAGCCCTCAGTGCTGCTCACCTGGCTGAGCCAGCTTGCTGCTGGCAATGGGCTCACAGCTCTTAGCTCCTTTCCTGGGACCTTGCATGAAGAGTCTCAGCTAACACCCTCTGCTTTGGCCCAGGCTCTTTGGCAGTGCTGCTATTAACTTGTGAAGTTGAGCAAAGGTTGAGTCCAGGTTAGAGAGCTGCTTGCTGGGAGCGAGCTGTCATGTGCTGGAGGTCTGTGCACTGTCTGGCAAATGGGGCTTGGACAGGTTTGCCAGCACCCAAGCAAATGTTGTACTTTAAAATCTGTACCCTCAGGTCACGCCATGGGGCTAAATTCTCCTTTTGAGACTGGAGTCTTTCCCAAATACCATAAGTTGTGCCACAGTTGGAACCTGCTGCACGCACACGAGTGAGGCAGATTTCTTCCTTTGAAATTAGGACATCTTTTTTGGAGCTATGGATGAGACAGCAGTAATTGTGTTGCTGTCAGCTGCACCTCGCCAGGTAGCACCAACCTGAGGACAAAAGGAGTGCTTGGAGCTGGCAGGGCAATGGGCTCTTATCCTGCTGCAACCTTGAGGGCTGAGGGGAAAAAAAACACTGCAGGAAAAATCGCATCCCTGTGTTGAGGTCAGAAATAAAAGCAGCCAGAGAGGCAGTGCCTCCCAGGGAACCAAATGCTGTTATTCAGCCTCTCAGGACAGCACTTGGAAGCATCTTCTCTCCTCAGTGCCTTAGCAGGGATGTGTAGCCGGGTCCCTGGTGCTTTTATTTTTCTGGCCCATCTTTAATGTTGGCAGCGACAGCGAAGCCGTTACAAAAAATTATTTCCTGTGTTAAAAGTGCTGCAGCAGGAAATTCCAGCTGACTTCAGGACAGCAGTGCAGGTGGGTTACAGGGGGCAGCACCTGATGGGGGTCGGGGTGAGAGCCCGGCCTCTTTAACCTCCCTAAAAAGCGGCGCCAGATGCCGAGAGCTCCATGCAGCATGGGGGAAGCCGTGCCCAGCATTACAGAGTCCAGGGAGCAGCAGTGGGAGAAATGCAGACATGAACAGGGAAAAAGCTGAAAGCCCCGTCTGTCCTTTGCAACAAGTGTCTTACTCTCTGGTAACCGCTTTGTGTATTTGCTGTCCTACCCTTATTCCTTGCTGCTCAGACTGTCTTTGGAGGTTATGACCATCCTCTGTCGCTGTGAGAATATTGAGACGTCGGAGGGGGTCCCACTGTACGTAACAGGGGTTGCACAGGTAATAACCCACAGCTTCCTAACGTCACGTCTAACTATTTCTGCCTCTGTTCTGAGCAGCAGCAACAGCAGCAGCAGCAGGACAACATAAAAACGAATGGTTTTCTAATGGGACGGTGAACATCTCAGCACCTTCCTCTCCTACCCCTCCTCTGGCGTTTGCTCTGGGGTGCACTCTGCAGCGTGTAGGTAATGCAGACAGATGCATACTTGGCAAATTCCAAATTCGGCGTTGCTATGCTGGCTCCTGATAATGCTGCAGACGTTTGCTTCGACTGTAACCCTTCCCTTGGCAGCACGATTCGCATTGCGTGCAGAAGTGCACCTGGCTGCAGACAGGCAAGGCTGGGTTTTACACAGGGAAGGTGGGGAGCTGAGCTTTGGCTCGTTTCGAAAGGAAGTCTGCACCCACGTGGGGAAATGGCAGCTCTCTGGTTTTGAATACGAATTTCCACTGAGCCCTTCCTCCTCCACACAGAGGCAGTGCCTGTTTTGGATGCTGTCTCATTTAAAAGCACAGCACGGGGACCTCGGGTGAGCTGCAGCACTGAGGAGTGGTGTTTGCTCTTGCTGTGAGCCGTTACAGACCGCCGTCACAGCGATTACCGAACTTCCCTGAGACTGGCCAGCTAGGAAGCAGCACAGCATTTAATTGAAATTAAAGGTATGGATTAGGCTTTCAGAAGTCCTACACCAGCTGATTGAAGCTGCACATGGCACAAAATGCCTGTGCGCATCCTGGGCAGCAGGACTTTGTGTTTTCAGCTCCCAGCTTGCATGCCAGTTCAATGAAGACAGCAGCCAGGGCAGAGTTGGGCTCGCAGGGATTTGTTTGGGCACCCCACCAGTCCCAGACGTGCCCACGGTGTGCAGCCCCATGCCATCCACTCATGCTTTGGATGCCTGAGCTAATGCTGACCAACATGAGCAGGCTGCACAGACCAACACTTTGCTCTGTGTCCCAGCATGTTCCCAGCTCGGTGCAGCTGCTCCTATCTATGGGCTGTGCTGCCTGGAGCACAGCTCGTGTGTCACCATCTTGTGACCTGCAGATCTGTCCACAGCACCTTCAGCCCTTGCCAAAAGCAAGATATGCTTTTGGCTGTCTGACCTCAAAGGAGCTGGAGACGCACGACCCAAAGGCAAATAGGAAAAGTAGGGTGAGTGAGGGAGATGAGAGAGTAGGGCTGTGTGAGTGTTAAGCCAACGAGGGAAAAGGCATGGCTGCTTCTTGCAGCACCAGCATCACGGGGGTGGCGCAGGGTGGGTGCATCTGGGCTCCGTGCTGTGCTTTCAAACAGTGACAGCAGCCAGAGCTGGGGACCCAAAGCTCCTGGCCGCCTCACCAGCCCTGCTGATACACTCCTGTTAAGCGGCGTTTGGAAACCTCCTTCTTTCTGTCCAAGCTGTCCTGTCTGTCTGCAGTCACGTACAGTTCTGTGCCTGTCTCGCATTACCCGTAGGAGTGCAGCTGGTAGCCAGGGCAGGAGGTGCAGGGGAAGGCAGAGTGTGTGTTACCTGGAAACGTGCAAACATTTTACGTTTTTTGGCAGGATTTCCCTAGAGATAATGACGTTACAGCCCAGGTGTGAGGACGTAGAGACGGCGGAGGGGGTAGCTTTAACTGTCACAGGTGTGGCACAGGTACAGTAACTCCAAACCATCATTTCAGGAATGCATGTCTCTAACTGGCTTTCCCCCTTACAAGGTTGCTGTTGTCCTGGAACAGAAGCCAACTGCTCTGAGACAAATTCTGGTACAAAACCACACTGTCCTCTTTGGTTCGAGCACGGTACAGCACATCCATGTTGTAACAGGGGTTGTGACCTCTCCTCTCCCCAAAATCATTCCTCTTCTTGCAATGTCACGTTTGTCCCTGTGGCAGATGAGTTGTGTGGGTGACTTCATCTGTCTGTGATGTGCCGTGGTGGCCCTGGAGCTGTGTGACACTGCAGGGCTGAGCCATTCACATCTGAGATGGTGCCGAGAGTTGGGTTGCTTTGGATTATTAGTGTGTGGGTCTTGTTGTTCCTCGTGGTGAGTTTAAGCTTGAAGGAAGAACTTGAACTCTCAGGGCAATAAAATCTGTGTATGAAATTTCTGGCTTGAATTGAATTTTGGTTGCCTCAAGCCTTCTTCAGACACAGCCAAAACCTCACGTGCTCCAGGAGCCCCCCAGGATGAGCACTGCAGCTCTTTAACAGCTGTGCATTGGAGAGATTCCACCCAGTGCTTTTGGAGGGGCTCTTTGCTTGGCCCTTGACAGACAAGGTGCTGTAAGTGGGGCTGTGCTCAGCCAGGAGCAGCGTCTGCATCACTGCACACAGCAGAAGGGCTGGGCACACTTGTGGCTTCAGCTCTGTCTTTGCATGGTTGGAGAAATGCATGCACCCCTGCCTCCCTCACACACTTCTGTAAAGCTGTCAGCTTCTCCATCTTCTGATTGGCAACGCTCCTGCATGGGAGGGATTTCTCTTTTAAGCTCTTTTTGGCTTCATTTTGGGACATCCCCCCACTGCTCACAGCAGGACTAGGCTGGGCAGTGCATGCAGGCAGAAAGCTGCACCACCGTGCCCCAATACAGCTCCGAATCTACCTTGCCCAGGTTATTTGCTATTCCCACTGTTGTTTTTTGTTTGTTGTTGATCTGTCACACTCACCTGAGGTTTTGGCATTTCTTCGTGTGATCGGGGTAGTGTTGTGGTGTTGAACTTGTCACCTCACAGACCTAGAAATAGTTGTGTTGCTTTTACCAGCACTTAAGCCCTGGATATGGGTCTGGCGGGGGGCAGGATGAAGTCTGTAGGTCGTGAACCCACCGAGAGCACACAGTGGAGCCTCCAGAAGGGTCATATTTGGAGGTCTTTGAGCCAGGATGATGCTGGGCTTTCAGGCAGCAGCAGCCAGGGCTGGTGGACGGCACACAGAGGGCTGCCCCACCGCCGGCACTGCCCAGCCCCGCTGTCTCCATCAGAGGGTGCTGTGGGACTTTCTCAGCGCCCAGCCGTGCTGGCTGCATGCCGATATGGCCCTGCTCCCCCCCCCCCCCCCCTGCTGCTGCCAGACACACAGGCATCCTTATGTCCTGGACCACCAGGAGCTGCCACTTTAGGACTGCACTCAGGAACTGTGTGCTGCATCTCCACTACCTGACATCCGTACCCAGTGGGGGGTTTTAAGCCAGTGGGGAGCAGCTCTGAGAATTGGCACCGGATGGTGAGGAGCAGGCTGGCCAGGTGCTGGCACATGGGGGCACACAGAGCCCCCAGGTGTGCAGGCAGAACACAGTGTGCTGTGGCCATCTCGTGTCATCCCTCCTTGCAGGGAGCACCATGTGGAACCGCCGTTCCCATCAGTAGCGTGGGGATCTGGCAGCCTGGTGGTGGTGCTGCTGCTGCTGCTGCTGCTGCTCTTGGGTGTCTCTCCCACCTTGGACAGGCACAATCAGCCCCTTTGGTTTTGTCTCCTGTCTCCAGGTGAAGATAATGACCGAGAAGGAGCTCCTGGCTGTGGCCTGTGAGCAGTTCTTGGGGAAGAACGTGCAGGATGTGAAGAACGTGGTCCTTCAGACACTGGAGGGGCATCTGCGCTCCATCCTAGGTGCGGATGGGCTCACAGTCTCGCAGGCATCAGCAGCAGCTTTTTTCCCCCTGTGCTGGCTGACTCCAGCAGAACTGCTGCCACCATGGCAGGCCACGATGGGTGCTTCCTCTGCTGAATGCAGATGTGGCAGCTTAGATTGTTCCTCCCCTCCGGCAGCTCGTGCTGTGCTGCTGGGTGTTGTGATAAATGAGTTTTCGGTGCCTGCAGTAAGAGATGTCTGAGTCCCCACGGGTTGCAGGTAGCCCTGTGTGTGGCTGCACTTCTGAGATGCTGATGTGCAGAACATGGGCTGGGCAGCAAGCTGTGCCCTTGTGCCCAGAGCTGACCTCGCTGTCAGTGTGATTTGAGACAAGTAGGATGTTGCTGAGCTTAGACCCATGCTGCTACATGCTCCCTGTTTCAAATAAAGTGCTTTGCCTGCCTTTCCTCTGCAGGCACCCTGACAGTGGAACAGATCTACCAGGACAGGGACCAGTTTGCCAAGCTGGTGCGAGAGGTGGCAGCTCCAGACGTGGGTCGCATGGGTATCGAGATCCTGAGCTTTACCATCAAGGTACCATCATGGTGCACAGCCAGCCGTGCTGTGAAGCAGGGACAGAGCCTGACCCTGGCTCTCCCACTGAGGCTGATGGAAAAGCAGTGGCTGACAGCCTGCCCCAGCCCTCCAGGGGTTTCCATGACAGCCGCTGCAACGTGCCCTGCATCCAGGCAGCACTGTGCAAACAGGAGAGCTCAAACAGGAGAGCTCAAACAGGAGAGCTCAAACAGGAGAGCTCATTGCTGGCCGAGCCCCCAGGGCTGGAGGGAGGATGCTGGGAGAGTCGCCTCTCCCTGTCATGCCTGGTTCTGCTTGGCAGCAGCCTAACGTAGCTCTTCCTGAGCCTGGCCTAACCAATGATTGCTGTGAGCTCCTTCAGGAGGCAACAAGATGGAGTCACTCATTGGAAGCGGCTGTGACTTATCTCCCTTTCTCCAGGATGTCTATGATAAAGTGGATTACCTGAGCTCCCTGGGAAAGACTCAGACTGCGGCTGTCCGAAGAGATGCAGACATTGGTGTGGCAGAAGCTGAGCGGGATGCTGGCATTCGGGTGAGTGCAGGGCTGTGCTGAGCTTCCCAGAGCAGTGTTTTGCTCCAGCTGCGCACCCTTGAGCTGTGCTCTCCATTTTCTCTCTGCAGGAGGCAGAGTGCAAGAAGGAAATGCTGGATGTCAAGTTCATGGCAGATACTAAAATAGCAGATTCCAGGCGTGCCTTTGAACTGCAGAAAGCTGCCTTCACTGAGGAGGTCAACATTAAGGTGAGAGGTATCTGACAGCCTGCTGGTGTCCCCTGGTTTGCAGTGGTGTTGGTTGCTCCGAGGCTTTCCAGCTTCCTCTCTCTGCATGTTTAGAGAGCCAGGTCTGGAGAACCCAGATCTGTGTGTCACAGTGCTTGCAGCACATTCCTCTCCTACCCTGTTGCCATCACTTAAGTCAGACTAGGGGGAGATGGAGGGATGGGGAGAGTTGCCTGAGTTGAACCCAGAGCTGTTTTTGTTCAAATACTGCGAGAAGAGCACACAGAGAGGGACTGCAAGTGCAGCACTGAGGACTGGGATGTCACCCCTGGGTGGAGATTTGACCCACGTCTGCTGTCAGAGCCTGCCAAGGGTCCTTATGTCTGCACTCAGGAGTACGAGCCCCCTGTTCTCCTCTCTCCCACATGCAGACAGCTGAGGCCCAGCTGGCCTACGAGCTCCAGAGTGCCCGGGAGCAGCAGAAGATCCGCCAGGAGGAGATAGAAATCGAGGTGGTGCAACGCAAGAAGCAGATCGACGTGGAAGAGAAGGAGATCATCCGGAAGGAGAAAGAGCTGATAGCCACTGTGAAGCGGCCGGCGGAGGCCGAAGCTTACCGCATCCAGCAGATCGCCGAGGGGGAGAAGTGAGTGAGCCTGAGCTGTCAGCGGGGCACAGGGAGCTGGCTGTGTGCTGGGCTGGGAGCGCCGTGCTCTGACCCAGCTTGCAGGCTGACGGCGGAGACGTTGGCTGCTGTAGGGCTTGCTTTGCCTTTTCAGGGTAAGGCAAGTCCTCCTGGCTCAGGCGGAGGCAGAGAAGATCCGCAAGATCGGAGAAGCTGAGGCCTTTGTGATTGAGGCCATCGGGATGGCAGAGGCCGAGAGGATGAAGCTGAAGGCCGAAGCGCTCCAGAGCTACGGGGAAGCTGCCCAGCTGGCTCTGGTGCTGGATGCACTGCCTGAGGTGAGGAGGGAGCAGCTTTCCCCTGCTCTGGGCTGGAGGTGGGGAGTTCCCAGACTGGGCCAGCTCTCCTGGAGGCACAGAGAGACCCTGTGGGTCTGACCAGCAGCTCCGTGGCTGCGTGCTCATGCCAAGCTCCTTCCCTGCCTCCTCAGATTGCTGCCAAAGTGGCTGCTCCGCTCTCCAGGGTGGATGAGATCGTTGTTCTCAGCGGGGAGAGCAGCAATGTGACATCTGAGGTGAACCGCCTGCTGGCCGAGATCCCCGCCTCCGTGCGTGCCATCACCGGTGTGGACCTCACAAAGGTGAGCTGGGTACCAGCAGCAGCCAATGGCTCTTGGGTGTGCAGAACTGCCCTGAGTTGTTCAGATTTTAGGCGGCCTCTTTCCGCAGCCCTGCCCTGCTGGAGCTCCCTGCATCTTCCTGCGGCCCTAACAGTTCTCTCTTGCCCTGCTACAGATTCCCCTGATCCAGAAAGCCACTGGGACCCAGGCATGAGACCCAAAGCGTGTGAAGATCACTCCCTGTTATGCACTCCGACATCAACTGCCTTCAACACTTGGGAATTCCTTTTATATCAGAGACAATTGGAGTTTCATTTTTAAGCTCTGGTGCCTTATTTTGTAGGGCCAGAAAGATGCATGTTCAATCAGCCGCTCTTTTTTGTTACAAAGGGTGGGAGGAGATTTATTTTCTAACTAATTGTATATTGTATCCAGCCGGTGTTTGGCTCTGATCCACGGTTAGGACTGGCAGCTTGTCTGGTGTTGCTGTTCTCTGTCCTCAGGAGCTCGCAGCAGGGGCTCAGCAAGATGTGTGCAGGCACCAGGACCTGCTCTGGGCTCCCTGCCCTCCCACTGCAACCCTATGGGGCGCTGCCCAGACCCCTGCTGCTGCCCACAAGCTGGGTTTGTGGTTGGCTTTCCACATGTTTGTCTTGCCTGCAGCCTGGGCACGGCTTCCCAGAGGTGGCAGTCCTGGTTGGGTGATGCTGGGGCACTGCCGGGGCTCAGTGCCATCTTGCCTTCCCTCAGGGAATTTCCTGCTGGCCTCTTGCTCAGCCCTGAGCCGGGTCCCTCGGTGCCGCGCTGCTCCCCACCCTTAGGCTCCCTGACCTCAAGGAGCGCTGCAAGGCGGCCGAGCTGCAGAAATCCCAAAAAGCAGCGCTGTGCCAAAGCTGTTTGATCATCCCAGAGGGAGGCAGCCACCCAGGCTGCTGTCCCTGAGTGCCACCGTGCCTCTCAGCTCTGCTAGCAGAGCAAGGGCCTGAGCGGCATGGGACGGCACGGGGCACTGCGGTGGGGACACTCTCCTCCTGCAGCACTCCTGCAAACCCCCACCCACCTGGCAGCCCACGGCTTTGCTGTCCCCAGAGATGCTGTGAAAAGGCTGTCCCCTCTGTGTCCCCTGCAGTGCCACCAGGAGCGGGCACTGACCTTCGCCCTCTCTGTGTCTGTCCTGCTGCCTGTGTTTGCTGTGGCTGTGCCTAAAAACGTTTGCAAGGAGCTGGTGGGATGGGGAGGGGGGTCCCAACTTTGTGCATCCGGTGCCACAGCTCAGTGTCACCCTCTTTGCAGAGGGGTGGCTGCTGGGTGCAGAGACCCAGGCCCACTTTGCCCTGGCAGTGCCGCTGGTGCTGCAGTGTCACCTCCCTACTCCTGTACAGGAGGGGCCAGGCCTTATCAGCCCCCAGCTTGTGGCTGCCAACCCTGATCTGGTGCTTGCTGATGGGTGTGCCGGGCAAGGCTCCCTATCTCAGTGTGTGTGCATGCCTGCACCGTGTCACTGCTGTGCGATAATAAAGCCTGTCACCTCGTGCCCTGGCTCTCATCTTGTGCCTTCTGTCCCCACCCCACACCCCCAGAGTGTTTGCCCTCCTGGCAGCCCACCTTGCCTGCACTCGGGTGTCCCCCCATACCATGTCTCCATGGTCCCATCGCCCTGTCCTCAGGGCTTGCTTCCAGCCCCACACTATGTGGGGTTCAACCCTGTTCCACTTTGCTGGGTGACAGCAGCTCCGTATGTCACCCAGGGACCCCATTGCTGTGGGGGCAGTGATGCTGGCAGGGACTGAAGGCTACTTCTGTCCCCGGGTTGGTGGCACTGTGCTGTCCTCACCAGCTCTGCACCCATGGGTGTGAGAGATGGAGAAGGGCTTTCAGCAGGGTCTTCAGCAGCAGGAGAAGGGATGGTGGGCTGTGAGGATGGCACTTCCCAGTGAGAGGGCTGAGGATCTGGTGCAGGGAGCCCAGAGGTGCCCGTGCTCCATCCGTGCAGGTGCACAAGGCCAGGTTGGACACATCCTGGCAGTGCCCATGGAAGGGGTCAGACAGGACAGCCCAAAGTCTTTTCCAGCACAGGCAATGCTGTGACTCCACGTCCTGGAGCACCTCTGTCCCCAGCCCTGTGCTGGTGGCTCTGTTGGTACGTGTGCTCTCCATGTGAGTGAGGATATCCAGCAACCGGGGGGCTCTGTAGACACCTCGTGCCCCCAAGCCCCTCTGTGTCCCACCAAGTGCTGGGCAGGACAGAAGGGCCCCCCATCCTGCATGCCCCACGCAGGGTGGCTCTGCAGATAGGTGGGTGGGGATGGGTTGGTGGCTCCTTATCTACAGCTACACACAGCCCTGCAGCATTGGCGGAGAGGGGCTGCAATACCAAAGCCCCCATAGCTGCTCTGCAGTGCTGTCCTGGTAGCCGCACACTTGGCAGTGCACAGATGTGGAGCACAGCTGAGTGAGCAGCAGGGATGGGGACACTGGGAGACACTCTGACAGAGTCCCTGCTCTGGGTGCTGGCTGCTTGTGCTGCTGTCTGGGGACACTCACATCACAACAAGGTCCAAAGGGAGCAGGGAACAGCCCCCTGTCGTCCCCAAGTCCTGGTGTCCTCATGTTGCTGGGGACACACTGCTGCTGGCAGCTGTGCCACCTCCTGCCAGGTCTGGTCATGCTGCCTCTGTCACACAGAGGGGACAGCAGGGCTGGGACCCCATTGCACCCCATTGCAGGGTCTGCAGCAGCCACCCAGTGCTGCTTATCTGGGTCTCCAAGCACACAGCCCTGGTGGGGACTTATCATATCCCTGCAGGTGGCTTCCAGGAATGCCACCATGTCCCTGCCCTGCCAGCACAAATAGCACAATGGCATGGCGCTGGCTGCAGGATGTGACCCTCGGGGGGACACACAGGGCTGGGGACACGTATGGGCAGAGCCACACACAGACACACGCAGCCAGGCACTGCGGCTGTTTGGGGACACACACGGCCAGAGGCCATGAATGGCCACAGTCACACACAATGAGGTGACACAACCCTCTTGGGGACGCATGGATCCGTCCTTTGGGGTTGCATATGTGACACAGGGACACATTGGGCACCAGTTTGCCATGAGCAGCTCCCAGTCTGGGATGAAGGACTGGGGGTGATCCAGCAAGGGGGTGGCCCCCGGCCCCCGGCACCCCCCTGTCCTCGTGTCCCCCACAGGCAGAGCTTTGTGGGATGGCACAGAGCTGGAGGCTGGTGTCCTCCCTTTCACCCCCCACCCTCCCAGACACGAAGGGGTTACAGGGCCACACCAGCTGTGCTGTGCAGATTTGAGATATGCAGATGAGGCTGTGCAGGATTTATAAAGTGGGTGCAGCAGCAGCACCCCACAAAGCAGCGGGGTCACCCCGAGAGGTGGGTGCTGCCTATGGGGACGCAGTGGGGTGGTGGTGGCACTTTGGGGACGAGGTGACACTAACGATGCTCTCCTTTTGTTTAGGTGCTTCTCATCACGCTGCCTGCCGCCCTGGGCTGGATATCATCATATACTGTAAGTTCACTATAAGACACTACAGTATAGATGATGTACTCCCCTGGGCTGCACCCGGCCCTGAGAGCTGCTCCGTGGGACTGCACTGTGGGGCACAGGGGGGTTATGGGGCGCCCTGAGGAATGAATGCAGCCAAGGACACATGGCTGGCAGGGAAACCGTTACCATTACTGAGTTTAGTAATGGTAATGGTTCTGCTGACAGCCAGGCACGCAGCGTGGCATGGATTGATGCGGGCTGGTGTGGGTCAGTGTGGGGTGGTGGTGTGGGTTCAATAAAATCAGAGATGGCACAGAGACGGTGGCTCCTTCCCTTGTGTGTGGGGGGATCAACGTTGGGGTGTGGGGGAGGTACGGACTTGGACAGTTAGTGGTGCTGTGAGGGGTGTGGGGCACTAAAGGGGCACTGGGGGGGATTGCATAGGGGTCAGTGGGGAGCACTGAGGGGTGTGGGAGGCACTGGGATGGGCTGGGGAGCATTGTGGGGAACAGCGGGATGAATTGCAGAGGACATGGAGCACAGAGGGAGCACGGGGGTGGGCTGCGGGAGACACTGGGAGCACTGGGAGCTGTGTGTGCCCTGGGGGCACTGGTGGGACTATGCACACTGTGGGCACTGGGAAAGCTGGAAGAACCAGAAGCACTGGACAGGCTGGGAGCACTGGGGGCAATGAGAGCACTGAGGTGTACTGGGCACAGCGGGCACACTGGGAGCACTGGGCACACTGGGAGCACTGGGCACACTGGGAGCACTACGCTGCGCCGCCGCCTGCACTGATGGGCACAACGCGGCGCGGCCAGCAGGGGGCGCTACATCCATCACTGCGTAGGGCGGCGCCCTAACCCCGTCTCCCTCCTCTCTATGCCTCCCCCCGCCTTCTCCTCCAGTAGGAGCGGCCGCCGCTCGCGCTCCCGGCCTGCCCCGCGGCGGGACAACATGGCGGCGCCCATGACTGCGGCGGTGGCGCGGGGCCTACTCTGGGCCCTCAGGGCCGGTTCGGCCGGTCCGCCGTCACGGCGTGCAGGTGGGGCGGCTGGAGCAGGGCCGGGAACCTCGCTCCGGGGAGGCCGGGGTCTGGGGGACGTGAGGGTGGGCCGGGCCGAACCCAGAGGGTAGGGGAAGGGCCGTGCGGTAGCTGCGAGGTGGGAGGACGGGGCCGTCTCGGTTTCGGGGCGGTTTCGCAGGTTTTACACCGTTTCAGCGATCCTCCTGGAGAGCTGCGCCCGCTGCAGCGGGAGCGGTTCGGCGCTGGGCCACATCCTGGGCCTCCCCGGCGAAAGGCCAACCCCGGCCCTGGGCCGGCACCCGCCGCCCGTGGCTACCAGCAGAGGTGAGCGCAGCCTGCGCCCCCGGCCCCGCCGCGGGGTAAGAGCACCGTGTGAGCGCCTTCTCCCCCCTCAGAGAAGCAGGCCCGCATGGTGCGGGGCCGCCCTGACCAGCCCCCGGAGCCCAAAGTGCTGAGAATCGCCATCATCGGAGCACCCAACGCCGGCAAGTCCACGCTTTCCAATCAGCTCTTGGGCAGAAAGGTAAAACGGCCACAAATCACCGAGTTAGGGCTGTTTGATCACCTTTATTTTTTAACTGTAGTGGCTGTGAGATCCTTTTAATTTCTTAAAGGTTTTCCCAGTCTCGAAGAAAGTGCACACAACCCGATGCAAAGCACGCGGTGTCATCACGCATGAGGACACGCAGCTGGTGAGTTTCCAGGCTGCAGAAATGGTGTTGTGTCCCGGGAGCAGCAAAGCGCAGGATCCCCATCCCTGGAGGAGCCCGAGGCCGGGCTGCGTGGTGCCCTGGGCAGCCTGAACTGCTGGGTGACAGCCAAGCCAAGGCAGGGGTTGGAATCGGATCCTCTCTGAGGTCCCTTCCAACCCAACCATTCTATGTTTTTTTTCATTTCTATCTTATGGTGGTGTTTAATCACGCTGATATAAGTTAGTGGCAGAGCTAGAACTGCACGTGGACTTAGGAAATGTGTTTTTCCTCTTTCTAGATCATTCTGGACACGCCTGGTCTCACTTGTCCCACAAAAGCCAAAAGGTATCACTGCTGCTGTAGGGAGAGATGGGGTTCTATCACTAGAGGTTTGAGAGAACACAAAGTGATTTCCACTGTGCAGATTTGTAGAAGTGGCAGGAATGTAAATTTTTGGCCTAATTTCGATCTCTTGACTTCCTAATTGTTTATATTTCAGTGACACCCAGAGCCTGGGGAATCCCTTGAGCCCGGTTGTGTTTGACTGTGTGCGTGTGTGTGTGCAGTGAAGGATGGTATAAACCTGTAAGGCAGCTCTGTGTGAGTTGAGATGATGGAAAGTGCTGTTCCTGCACCTGCAGGGGGAAGGAAGGTTGTTGTGGTCCAGCACAAGCCTAGCATGCTCACCTGTGTTTGCCTTTCAGGCATAAACTAGAGGCAGCCATGCTGACAGACCCGTGGGACAGCATGAAACATGCAGATCTAGGTGGGCACTCAACTTCCTTTGCATCAAACCCTTTATCAGCCACAGAAACTTATAACCCTACAGCTGTAGTACCTCTATATGCTACTGGGCACTAAAGGCAGACCTGGGAGTGTGAATAAGAAGCAGGGGTAGAAGGGCATAGAAAGAACTGAACTTCTTGACTGGGGGAGGGGTTTAGAATTGCCTGATGGCAAAGGGAGGCAGCTTGGTGAACATTTGGCCTTGGATGTTGCATTTTAGCATGTGTGATATTTGTAGGACAGCAAGTGTAAACTGGGTTTGTTGTTTTATCGTTTGAAACACCATTTTTGGATTGCACGTGCACACTGCCCTGCAGAAGTGAGAGGAGGAAGAGCAGGAGGGAAGTGATTCAAACACAGGCTACGGAGAAGCTTAGAAAGAACCTTTGGGAAATGTAGGTTCATTATTTTCCCCTCGCTCTCTCCTGGCAGTTCTGGTTTTGGTGGACGTCTCAGACCACTGGACACGAAACTCTCTGAGCCTGGAGGTGCTGAAATGTCTTTCTCAGTTTCCTCAGA